AATGGCGTGTCTTTTGGGTTTATAAAGGTTTGTAACGTTGCACTTTTTCAGGCTATAGAAGGAAATAATGATTGAAATTCTCGGGAATTTCAAATGTTGCCTGGAAAATACAAAGTGAATATGGCAAAGATTAATACTTGGTATTAATTCTGTCATATTGGGGGGTAATTGTTGACATACTAAAAGTGCAGCCCAAATTAAATAACCCAAAAAGTGAAGCCCAATTGAAGAGTTCAGGATAAAGGCCCAAATAAAATTATTGATAAATGCAGTGGAAGCCCACGAACACAGTTAACATTATCGCACAAGCTTACAAAACGCCCAGAATTTGAGTGAATTGAGTGCTTGCCCAAACCTTCGAATCGCCCAAGATCTTAGCAAACATGAGATATTATGGTTATCCAGAATAGCAGTTATCGAGCAATTTTATCACATTCCACGATTCAAGGAGCCCAGTTGAAGGCGGTTGAACGACAAAGAGTAATGTCAGCAGTTAGAGATGACAGTTCCACGACAAGTTAGCCACCATGAAGAAAATTGGTAGTTATAGAGCAATCAAGCAGTTTCCAAGCGGTTTGTCACGAAAAAATTATCAAGAGAATATAAAAAGGAAGAGAAGACATAGAGAAAGGATCCCAAATCAAACACTCTCAAACAGAGAATATGTAATTTTAATTTCTTAGCTTAAATTTAAACATTTCCTTTAGTACTCGTGTGCTTGTGCCCCTTGGAGGCATTTTGTTTACTTCCAATTGTAAATCATTACCAATAAAACATCCATTTTTGGGACTTTGTCTCAAGGGGTTTGTTCCTTATACAATCGTCTGAATCTTTTTTAATTGTTAGCGACTACTTGTGCGAAACACAATTCAAAAAAGATTAGCAACAAGGCTTGAGTCCTTATTTAGTGTTTCGTTTAATTAATTATGGCACGTTCTTTAAAATAAAAATTTTAAATTTAGGTATAAAATTAAGACTAAGGGTGCAAAATTTATTACCCTTACAATTTGGAAAAGTCTTATTCCTATAAGACCATGTTAGTGGTGAGAGTTTTATTGGCTTCATTTGAATATAATTTTACATTTGAGAGAAATCTCTAACACTGATCTAAATCCAATATTCATAGAATCAATAGACTTGTTTATTTCCCTATCCCGCTCGATCATATACTAAATATTTTCATGTCAAAAAATCAACTATTATACCATTTCAGTTCACCCCAACTTATTCATCCCTGCTACAACCTTCTTTTTTCATTTTCTACTTGTAGAATCCGATCAATGGCAGAACCAGCATTCGACGAGGTGGCGTGGCTGCTCGTGCTGGCTCTACTGCAATTTGCATGTTGCCGATTGGAGCAGCTCGTCTGTTGCCGCCCGTGAAGCCTTGAATGACATGAAAGGTTTACCCCTTTTTTTGAAAAAATAAATAGTGGGGCTTTTGTTTTGGTCCTTGTTTCTTTTTAGAGGAAATTACATTATTCCAAGGGTTTGAAGATTGGAATTCAAAA